TATTTTGGATGTCAACCCTTTATCGGATCTGTCATTTATGAATATATTCTCCCATACTGTAGGATAGCTTTTTGTTCTATTGATGGTGTCCTTTGCTGTACAGAAGCTCTTCAGCTTGATATAGTCCCACTTGTTCATTTTTGCTTTTGTTTCCCTTGCCTGGGGAGATATGTTCAAGAAGAGGTCACTCATGTTTATGTCTAAGAGGTTTTTGCCTATGTTTTTTTCTAAGAGTTTTATGGTTTCACGACTTACGTTCAAGTTTTTAATCCATTTTGAATTAAGTTTTGTGTATGGGGTTAGACAATGATCCAGTTTCATTCTCTTACATGTAGCTGTCCAGTTTTGCCAACACCATCTGTTGAAGAGACTGTCATTTCCCTATTGTATGTCTTTCTCTGTCTGATACATTTTGCTTAGCATAATGCTCTCAAAGTACATCTATGTTGTTGCAAATAGCAAGATTCCATTCTTTTTTGTGGCTGAGTAATTTTCATATATGTATATATCACCACATTTTCTTTGTCCATTCATCTATTAATGGACACTTAGGTTGTTTCCTAATCTAGCAACTCTTCTTTCAAATACTCCATCACTTTTAGACCAATCTGCTGATACAACGGCCACCCTTTCTCTGGTGAATGAGGCACAATATTTGCTGATAAACAGATCCAGTGTTTTGGAACTTCAGCAGCAATTAAAATACAGGTAAGATCTTTTACCTTGGGAGTAGCAGACAGGTGTTACACTTGTTCCTGGGAGTGACCCTGGCATCTGTCTACCTGGGGAGAAAAGACCAAGAGTCATGGATTCCAGACCCTTCATTTACAGATAAGAGATGGAGGCCCAGAGAAATCACAAAGCCCTTTAGGCCCCTTCTCATTAATCTTCTGGAGGGTTCTCTTTTACCTTCCAGTGTCCTTGATGCCCTCATGATTCTTAGTGGAAAACTCCAACTCTCAGGTTTTAATCACTCCATTTCTTAACATTTGCTTTAATTGAATTGCCACCAACTTGACCCAGTTTCATTACCCACCCTCCCACTGTCCCCTATCTCCTAGGAGCTTTGTCCTACTTACACAGTCATTTTGAGTAAAAAGAAGATTGATTATGAAAGCTTTCAAAGCTGTAACTGTAGATATTATTTGTTTGTGTCATCAGACAGAATGAGCCCTCCTTGCATCCTCAGTCCTGCCTCATGCTCTCCCAATGGCCCTGTTAGAAGATCAGCTCTGGAAAGGGTTTTAGTTAGTTCAACCCTCCTCATTGTTCTTTAGAGGAAATTGAAGCCCTAAGCTAATTGGACAATTAGGGCAAAGCAGTTACCCAGCTGTCATGCAAGGGATGGGACCAGCTGTTTATTCCTAGTCTGCAGGCCGGGGAAGGGTGTGCATGTGCCTGTCAGCACTGTGAGCCCAGGATTCTGTGACTCTCATGTGTCATGTAGTCCTGTACACAGGTGGGCACACTCACAAACACGTGCAAATATAGCTTAATAGAAATAACAAACGTGGCCTGTTTGTACTAATTCCTCTTAAGTCATTGGCAACATACAACACCATTCCCTTGCCAAGAGCCTGCTTGCCCTCCTTGGGAGCAGAAGTGTGATGCAACTACACAGTCCCTGAGTGTTCACTGAGTTTTCTGGGCACTGAATGACTCGTACCCAGAGACCTGGAAAGAGCAGATCAGTTTTCTGGGTTTTTGGGGGTAGAAAGGTAGGAGGTGGAGACAAACTTGCTGTAACCCTAGTTCCTACCAGGAGGGGACCAGATTTCCTACCAGCTGGTTTAGCACAGAGCTGACAAGCGGAGGTTGGGTAGGACAGGTGGTCAAACGTGAGAGGAACAGTGTGGCTAGTACATGGCAAGGGTCCCTGGGGGTCCTGGTTGATGTTTCTCTGTGTTCTACTTTCAAATTTGATAGGCTCTGTCATGTATCTGCTGATCCAATAGCTTTTGGACATAAAACTTTCCCTTTTCCCAAGCACAAACCTGGAGAGTAAATCCAGAATCAAAGGATTTTAGGACCGGGAAGTGCTAGCCCTCACATTTCAGATGAAAACACTGCAGTCCTCATAGGTCACGGAGCTGCACAAAATTAGGGACAAAGCTGGACTTGGTTGTCCTGGTCCTTGGCTTTTTACATGCCATTCCCTGTTTGGAAGGGGATTGAGACACAGCTGTGGGACCCCTTATCCTCCCCCACAGCCTTTCAATACTGCCTCCAGGGCAAATTCTGACCATGCTCACGGATTACCCCCACCCCAACTTAAAAACTTTTTCTTGAAGTACAACAAAGTACGAAAATCCTAGATACATAGCTTAGTGAAGTTTTACATAAACCTGTGTAATAACACTGCCCAGTACAAGGAGAGAACATTTCCAGTACCCCAGAACCTTCCTTGTTTCCCTCGTAGTCAACCCCGTGGAAGTTCACCACTATTCTGACTTCTTTTACCGTAGTTTCACCTGTTCTTGAACGCAATACAATGGGATCATACAGTTGACATTTTCAGGTTCTTTTCAGTGCATTCCTTTTGCAAGGTGGGCAGTACATGGAGGTATGCAGATTTTGCAGGAACTCATGGTATAAACAAAAATGACAAAAATGGTGTATACTAATTAAGATTGTAAACAGGATAGAAGTTAGGAAATATATATTAAAATTCCCCATATATAGTCTATATTGCCTTATGATGTTTTAATATCCCAAAAGAGCTCTTGATACTTTTTAGGTCTTTGGTAATTAAGCCTGTTGACGCTCTTTGCCTTGTCCAGACTTAGCTTGAATTGGTATTTTCTCAGAAGTTTGTTCACTCTACCACTGTTCATTTGGTTTGCACAGTCCTCCGTCTCTTCAGCTAAGATCTACTCACCCTGTGTACTGCCCCTTGGGGCCTTTCCCTGGGAAGGGGACCCTGTTACAGGAGAGGCCATCAATGCTGGTTTCACAAATGGGTGTCTCTTGGCCTTACACTCATGATGAAAGCTTGTTCTGATCATTCAGGCCCCAGGCAGTTGATGATGTCAGGCACTGAGTGGTAGAAATGTTAAGTCATTACAACAGCGTAATTATCCGCTCCCTCCCTCCCTCCTTTTTCCCTTTGCGATGTGTCCTAAGCAGTGATGAGAATGGAAAGGAGGAATTATTCCCAGTGAAAGATCTTATCTCACGTTTTCGAGCCAATATTATTACCAAAGGAACAAGGGCGTTTGAAGAGGAGAAATGGGATGAGATTTCCATTGGCTCCTTGCATTTCCAGGTGAGTTCTGGCAAGTTCAGTTTCCTTCCTCAGACGTTGCCAATGGAGATTGACCTCAATCCTAGGTCAGGATGGTGGCGGGTGGGAATCCCTCGTTTTCTTTAACTTTTACCTACAGAACCTCAGCAGGAGTGTTTGTGACATCTGCATTCTGTGCCACCCCTTGGAATGAGCCATCCCCTAGCCTGCCACAGGGTGGCAGCAGCCTCAAGAGAGAAGTCTACACCTGCCCCACACAGGTGGCTTAGTGCCACCTCCACCTCATCACTGTATGTAAGCTTAACCCCAGTTTCTTTGGAATGCTTCTCAGTGAGAGCTTCATCCTCATGAAACTTGTTGGAGTTTCCTGCTGTCTGGAGCTCAAGGAGAGGGACCCAGATGCCTGGTGGTCCCTCAGTGTCCATGGCCACTGTACCTACTCCGCATGGCCTGGCTTCTGGCCTCAAGAGCACCTGGGGAGGAGCTTGAAATCAGAGGCAAAGCTGCCAGGATGCTTTCTTTCCCCAAGCTTTGGGCTCCCCAAGCCCTTGCTGTGGGCTTCAAAGATGTGAGAAGGCTAAATATATAGGCTAAAATACACATTCCTCTCTGGGCTGATAAGGCACCATAAGCCCTGCCACTGCAGCTTCCCTGACCTCTCTGACTTCTCTGAGCTCATTGTCCCTCCCCTCTGACTGTTGTGTCAGCCATCTGCCCACTCCCTAAACAAGCCAAGCTTCCTGCCTCAGTGCCGTTGCCCTTGCTGTCCCAACTGCATGGCATATTCTGAGCCATTTCAGGGGCTCAGCTCAGATATCACCTCCTCGAAAGGATCCTGACCCACCACACAGTCAAGCTTCTCACAGAGCCTGCTTATGCTTCCAGAGCACAAAACAGCTCACTATGTTTTATTCCCTCTGGACCTCTAGGGCCTAGAACAGTTCTGGCCCTGAGGCAGTGCTCAATGATTGTTGAAGAATGAATGGATAGGAAAGATAAGGAATAGCTAGGGATAGAGGATGGTCATCCGCACAGAATGTGCCCAGTTCTCCAGTGGGGAATGCATTTATTTTAATAATATTAATATAATTAGTCAATGGTATGAACTGACTATAATAGGCCTACCTTATTTCCAAGCTCTGCACTCAAAAGGAACATCACTGTGGCATCCAGAAAAGCAGTAAGCAATAATTTAAATCTTTATTGAAGAATTTCAGAAGTCTGTGGGGATGGGAGGAGCAGATAAATTTGTATGGCACAAAGAAAGTCCCAGAGAGCTTTTTTTTATCCATTTAGCTTCCAAACTTCCTCTTGTCCTGGTAGATGTTCCCCCCTTGAAAAAACCATCTCTTTTCCCTCCCACAGATCTCTTTTGGCATCAGCCTTCCTGCCATTTCCCCTCATCCCTCCATCCTGACTCACTCTTCTCTTCCTCAATTTCTATTGCTGTGTCTCTGCTTTAAGAACTTTTTTCTCTGTTTTAGAAGCACCTCCTTTTACATATTCTGCCTGATACAGAGTAGGCACTAAATATATATTATCTGATTGATGGAGAGAGGGAGAGAGAAATAAAGGAAGAAAATAAGGGAGAGGGGAAAAAGCAAGGACTAGAACTAGACTAGGATCACTGTCAGAAACTCACCTGGCACCAGGAGCACCTGTACCTCTCCAGGTATGTGGGGACATAATACAGGGACAGTTCTCTAGGAGCTTTTTTGAGATGCTTTGCTTTCTTTAGGTCATTGTCCTTAATAGTAATTAATAAAATTTAAAATATGCATGCCCTTTGACCCAATAAGTTCCCTTGTAGAAATCCCATAAAAAATACTCAAACAAGTATGCAAAGATTTATACAAAATTATTCATTGCAATATTTTTATAAATATGAAAAGTGGGAGAGCATCCTAACTGTCCATAAAAGAGAGGTTGGTTAAATAAATGATGCTATATTCATGTAACAGTTTGGTGCAGGCATTAAAAAGTATAAACTATAGTTATTATCATGCCTTTCAAAAGTAAATGCTTAAAAAATGTTTGTTGATAATAGTGCTGAAGCTGTGGCAATGCAAAAAGATCGAGCACATCTCTTTTGGGGAATGTTTTTACTGGCTGTCATCAAGTCTTGATAACTTTTATACCTGTTGGCTTTATAATCCCATTTTGGGAAATTTATCCTAAAAAAGTGTCAAACAAGGGCAAGGGTTATGTGAATTAAGACCTTTATTGCAAGACTATTGATAACAGCAAAGAATCAGAAACTATTTACATGGCTTTGAAGGAGAACAGCTGAGTGCATCAACCCAGAGGAATCCCAGGCCATTGTGAAAATTGCAAGATCCAAGGATGAGGTAGTTTCTGTTAATAGACATGGAAGGATGTCCATTATATATTATGGAGTAATTTAAAAAAGAAGCCCAGTGGCCTCTCATGTCTCTGTAAGAGTGTTTTATATGTCATATGTAGTTGCACGCAGCTATATGCTGTGATCTGGAATGGTCTGCAGCACTTGCCCTAGCACAGACAGGGAGACCACTGCTGAGTGCTTTCTCCTTGAATTCCTAAAGCTTCTGTATTTGAATTATTTTTCAACAAACAGTAAACACATTTTTACAATACCACCTGATAAGAGTACCAGAAAGAAGCTTAAAAATTACACTGTTTTCAGAAAATTGTTTTCTTTGTATTGGTGTTTGAAAAGAGTGTCTGGAATATGTACTGGTTTCTGACAGTTTGGAAAAAATATTTTAAGAGATCCTTTTCACTGGTGTGACAGGATTTTTACTTCAGGTGTTATCTCTTGGGTGGCAGCTGGGGCCTGGGCCTGGGATTGGTGGGCGCTGGGGTCCTGGGGACATCCCTTCTGTGGGGCATGGAGGGTTCAGAGGGAGCCCAGCTGCGGAATCATGTTTCAGGCAGATAAGGTACAGGGTTCCATACACTGAGAGCCACACTGGCCTCTTGAGGACACAGTGCTCTGATCTTGGGGAAACCTGGTTCCATTTGGGGGTTCTTGTGTATAATATTGATAGTTTCCACTTTGGGGCATGATTGGGTATGAGGCCTGGGCTCAGCATCCCAGAAATAATTTCTGGAATACTCACAAAACCCAGCTAAGTTGCTAGATGAGGAAATGAGGCCTGGAGAGGTCACAGGTCTGCCAAGCATCACAGGGTCAGTAGTGGGCAGAGCTCCTGTAGCTGCTCATGAGGCTTGGGAATCTTTGGGAGCACAGTGAGGTTATATTTCTACTGGTTTAATGCCCACAGCCTTAATGTGAGTGCTAGGAACAGGCTAAGACATCCAGAGTTAGTTGAGTGTTTCTAATTTCAGTACACACTTTATATTTTGCTCATGAGTGAGCAGTTGAGAAAATGATTATGTGAAAATCAAATACCTTAGCACCTTTTACTGTACAGGAAAAGAATATGTATTGCCACTGCTGAGCTGTATACTTTTTTCATATGTGTTAACATATATGGGTGATTTTCTCACTATAAGGCAATTCATGCTCATGGCAGTCCATCCAGAATAGAAATTCTACCATATGGTATAACTCCTATTAATAAACTGTGTACTGTGTTTTATGTAATGTATGTATGCAAAATGCACACACACATACACAAATATGTACACACATATAATTTTGTTTTCTGCTTATTTCAATTATAAAAATCTTTACCATTTTATTTAAAGCCCTTTATAGATTAATTTTAATACTGGCATAATATTTATCATATAGGATTCTTCTCTATTATTTGATTTGAGAATACCAGATTCTTTCTATTATAAATAGTGTGAGAAATATCCTTGTATATGAATCTGTGCTTGTCTTCTGATTTGTTTCTTAGGTTAAATTCCTAGTGGTGAAATTGCTGGTTCAAAGGACATGGGCACACAGAAGTTTTATTTTGATGACTCTCACCGTGGCTCAGTGCTGGGTTTCTGGCTGTTTGTCTTCTCCAAGTTTGTCCTCCAACCATTTAGTTCTTTTCTTTCTGGGAGGATCCCCAGTATTTCCTGGGAACCACCTGAGATTCACAACCATTCTTCCCTTTCTCTACAAAGCCCTGAAGCAGCTACCTTTCAGCTGATAAATATGGATGGTTCCCCAGCAGCACTATGAAGAGATGCTACTTGCGGGCTCTTTGCAGTCGGTAGAGTCCCCGGCATTTCTGTGTCAGTCTGAAACTGGCTGGGAGGCAGCCTTTTACAACCAATCCTGGACAGATTCCTCCCAGCAGAGTGGGAGGGTTTGGTCACTTTCATGGCAATGCTTTCTTTTTCTTTTTCACTTCCCAGGTTTTGGGGCCTTGTCACAGATGTCAGATGATTTGCATCAACCAGAAAACTGGGCAACGAAACCAAGATGTTTTTCAAAAGCTTTCTGAGAGTCGAGAGAGAAAGGTAAGCATGTCTGCAAAATGTGACATCTGTATTAAGATCCTGGCTCATTATCTACACCAGAACTAATCCCTAAGTGTGCTGAGTAATATTTAAAAGTGAGGGAATGTTTGAAGTATGGGATACTGTTAAGTTTCTGACCTCACTCGTGGCCCCATCTTATTTTTCCTTTCCACTCATTTCCTCACTCTTTTTTGGGGTCTTATTATGTATATTTTTGATGTTCTCAAATCTTGTTGAAGTGGTATGAGTATAAATAAGAAGTAAGTAAATAAGCAAAGTAATTCTATTGTCTCAATCATAATTTTCTTCACCACAGATCTCTCATGAGAGTAAAATGCCTTATGGTGAGTAGTAGCTGCATAGAAAAATTTAGTAAATTTCACTACACTGAGCCTATAAGTCTTCTTCTTGAAGGTTAAAATGACTAAAGTTGTTTTTGTGAATTCCAGATGATAAAAGCTGAACTTGTAACAGATTGGTATTGCTTAGCATCACTGTAATTCCCATGGATACAAATCTTTATTTATTTAAAAAATGTTTTGGAATACTTTGAGATTTACAGATAAACTGTAAAGATTGTATAGAGAGTGCCTGTGTTCACCCATATGTGCATAATCTTAAGTAATTAATTTGGCCCTAGCTTTGAGCCTGGGTCCTGGAACTTGGGGCTGACCAACTGATGTTATCACAGGAATGAACAGTTCTGGGGGCATGTCACAGACTCCAAAGGGCTCTTCCTGGCTTGCTTGCATTGATGGCAAACCTTGAGTATTCTTACACAACTCTTCATTTTCGACCTTCCATCTTTACTTTGGAGAATTTGGAGAACCTAACCTATACCATACATTGTCAAGGAGAACGCAGAATAATTTTACCATTAATTTCATAAAATGGTGCTTATGTAAGGGAACAGAGAGAAATCAGCCTGGCAGTGATAGAGGCCCATGGAGGAAGAAGGCCCTCCTGCAGGAAGCTCAGGGTATATGTGAAGGAGAAAAAAGCTTGGGTCCAGCAATAAAGAGTGGGGCTAACACCTTGGGATGAGGGAAAGGACACCTTAGAATGAGAATCCTTGGCATCTGACATTAGGATTCTTCTTTTTTCTAATACATTCTACTAAGTGACAAATAGGACATATCAAGTCCAGGTTTTAGTATCTGTCTTAAAAGATTTGACTTAATTTTAGTTAAACATTATTATTTACAAAATTGTTTCAACTGCTAAAATAATCTAGCTTGTTATTGTTGTTGCCATTTTGTCTACAGGTGAACTTTGGTGTGTATCTGATGCATATGTCTTTGGATTTATCTTCTCAATGTTTCCTGTCTGTGGGATCTCAGGTGTTCCCTGTGTTGAAAGAAAATGTGGAACTCCACAATTTACCTGCTTCTGAGAAACATCAGGATGTTACCTCCTAAAATTTTCCAGAACAAATTAAAATTGCCTGTTTACAACTATCTCAGCTCTTATTAAGATTGGTACATGGTTCATTAGAACTTGATCTTTGGAACAAGGAAGGTTCTTTTCCTCTTGGAGGTAAATAACACTTGCACAGGCTTCCTTTAACTCCTCCTTCTGCACAAGTGCCCTGGCCCTGCTCAAGAGGGCAGCTCCAAGGCCTCTGTGCTTTCCACTAGGCAAATTCAGCCCGAGTGCTGTGCTGACACCAGCAAGGTTTCCACATGTGTTGGAAGTATGATAGTTTGAATTAGAGGAGATTTTTAATGAGCCTCACTGGGAATATTGAACTTCCTCTATTTTTCCATTTTCCCATGTTGTTACTTTGTTTTTAGAAAGAATGTTTAGGTGCTTTTCAACCCCTTTGTACTGAGGAAGGTAGACTGTGCCCAGTAATGTTGAGGGAATGAGAATGTGCCCCTTTCCTCTCATGTACATGGAGGAGGTGAGTTTATATTTAGGGGTTTAATGTGGCTTATGGCCATATTCCTCAGGGGAGGTGCTGAGCAAAGGCACAGGCCAGCAGCCATTTTTTCTTACTTCCTATTCCTCTGCACCACTGCTCTTTCCCTTTGAGCTGATACACTGGGGATCTCTCCTAAGCCTGAAGTTACACTCAGTGATGGTGGTGGTATGGGAGCACCTTCCAATTGGATTGTTGCATTTGTCCAATAATTTCTCTACTCCAAACCCATGCCCACACTGCCCACAGCATCCTCCAAAGCCAGTGTTACCACTTCTCTCTGCTGCTCAATTGTTTGGCATATCAGGCTCAGGCTTCCCTGTATGATCTATTCAGAACCCTTGGTATTAGTGATCTGTTTCATTATCAAAGAGTAGGACACAGAAACCCAGACAAAATGGGGAAGCAGAGGAATATGTTTCAAACGAAAGAACAAAATAAGACACCAGAAAGAGGGCTAAATGAAACATATCACCAATCTTCTTGATAAACATTTCAAAGTAACAGTCATAAATATACTCACTGACCTGGGGAAAAGAATTGATAGTCTCAGTGAGAACTTTAACAAAGTTAGAAGATTTGAAAAAGAGCCACTCAGGATTGAAGAATACAATAACTGAAATGAAAAACACAATGGAGGGAATTAATTATTAGATTGCTGAAAGTAGAGGAGATCATCAGTGAGATGAAGTTATTAGGAAAACAGCAAAGCTGAGGAACAGAAAAACAATGTACAAACAAGAGAATGCTAAGAGAGCCATGTGACAACTCTACATAAAACAATATTCACATAATAGGAGTACCAGGAGGAGAAGAAAGAGACAAAGGAGTAGAAAGTCTCTTTGAGGATATAATTGTTTGAAAACTTATCCAGTTGGAGAAGGAAATAGACACTCAGCTCCTGGAAGTGCAGAGAGCTCCTAACAAAGTAACCATAGGAAGACAACACAAAACACAGAATAATTAAAATGACAAAGATTAAGGATAAAGAGGGTATTGAAAGCAGCTAGAGAAGGAAAAAAATTCTTATAAGGCAAACCCCATTAGGTATCAGCAGACTTCTCAGCAGAAACTTTACAGGCCAGAAGGGAGTGGCATGAAATATTTAATGTATTGAAACGAAAGCATCTCCCACCAAGAATCCTCTATCCAGCAAGGTGACCATTTAAGACTGAGGGAGAGATTAGAAGTATTCCAGTTAAATTAAAGCTGAAGGAATTCACCACTACTAAACCAGCCTTATAAGATATGTTAAAGGGACTTCTGTAGATGGAAATATTCTTAAGCCTAAATATTTTTCACCAGTGGGGAAAAAAAACACAGTAAAGGTAGTAGACCAATCACTTACCAAGCAAGTAGTAAGTTAAAAGCAAAAGCAGTAACAGCAACTATCTGTGACATCAGTCAAGGGATACACACACACACACACACACACACACACACAAATTAGGGCACATTGTGATACATAAAGTGTGGAGCAGGAAGAAAAATTAAAAAGTAATGTTAGATTGTGTTTGAAATAGAGCAACGTAACATAGACTGTTACATATTTAGGAAACTATCCATGAACCTTGTAACCAAAAACCTAAAGCCTATAATAGATACTCACAAAAAAGAAATCCAATCACAATCCTAAAGAAAACCATCAAATAACAAGAGTATACAAGGCAGAGGAACTATTAAAAAGAACAAAATTAATAAAATGGCAATAAATACCTACCTATGAATAACTACCTTAAGTGTAAATGGACTGAGTGCACCAATCAAAAGACACAAGGTGACAGAATGGATAAAAAAACAAAACCCATCTATAAGCTGCCTGCAAGAGAGTCATTTCAAAGCAAAAGACAGACTAAAAAGTGAAGGGATGGAAAAAGATATTTAATGCAAATAATAGAAAAGAACAGGAGTAGCAGTACTTATCATAGACAAAATAGACTTCAAAACACAAAAAGTAACAAGAGACAAAGAAGGACATTACATGATGATAAAGGGATTGATCAGTCCAAGAAGAGGATATAACAACTGGAAATACCTATGCACCCAACATAGGAGCACCTAAATATGTAAAACAAATACCAACAGAACTGAAGGGAGAAATAGACAATTCAATGATATTAGGGGACTTTACCACAAATTAACATTAATGGAAAGATCATCCAGACAGAAAATAAGGAAACAGAGGCACTGAACGATACATTAGATCAGATGGACTTAAAAGATATCTACAGAATATTCCACCCAAAAGCAACAGGATACACATTTTTCTCAAGTGCACATGGAATGTTCTTCAGAACAGGTCACATACCAGGCACAAAAAAGAGCCTCAATAATTTCAAGAAGGTTGAAACTATATCAAGGAACTTCTCATGCCACAATGGTATGAAACTACAACTAAATTACACAAAGAAAACAAAACAACCCACAAACACATGGAGGCTAAACAACATGCCTCTAAGTAATCAATGGATCAATGAATAAATCAAAGTAGAAATCCAGCAATACATGGACACAAATGAAAACAAAAATACATTTCAAAATATTTGGGACATTGTATATTAATGATACCAAAAAATAATAATAACCAGCTCAAGAAAAAAAAATATGTGGGATGCCACAAAGCAGCTCTGAAGGGAAAGTACATAGCAACAGGCCTACCTCAAGAAACAAGAGCAATCCCAAGTGAACAGTCTAAACTCACAACTAATGAAACTAGAGAAAGAAGAACAAACAAAACCCAAAGTACAAGGAGGGTCATAATAAAGATCAGAGCAGGAAGAAATAAAAGAAAAATCAATAGAAAAATATCAGTGAAACCAAGAGCTGGTTCTTTGAGAAGATAAATAAAACAGACAACCACTAGCCAGACTTATCAAGGAAAAAAAAGAGAGAGGACACAAACAAAATCAGAAACAAAAAAGGAATAGTCAGAATAGATACCACAGAAATACAAAGAATTATTGGAGAATACTATGAAAAATATGCCAATAAGTTGAACAACCTAGAAGAAATGGGCAAATTCCTAGAGAAGTAGAACCTTTCAAGACTGACCCAGGAAGAAGCAGAATCTGAACAGATCAATTATCAGCATTGAAATCGAATTGGTCATCACAAAACTCCTAACAAAAGTTCAGCACCAAATGTCTTCACAGCTGAAGTGTACCGAACATTTACAGAAGAGCTAATATGCATCCTTCTTTAGGTATTCCAAAAAGTGGGAAAAGAGGGAATACTGCTAAACTCATTCTATGAGGCCAGGATCATGCTAATGCCAAAAGAAGACAAAGACACTACCAAAAAAATTAAAATTATAGGCCAATATCCCTGAGGAACATATATGCAAAAGTTTTGAATGAAATATTACCGAACTGAATTAAAAAGTATGTCAAAAGGTTCATCCATCACAACCAAGTGGGATTTATTCCAGGGGTGCAAGGATGGCATAATATTCATCACTCAATCAATATCATGCACCACATTAAGAAAAAGAAGGGAAAAAACCATATGATCATCTCAAAAAATGTTGAAAACGCATTTAACAAAATTCACAATCCATTCATGATAAAAACTCTCAACAAAATGGGTATAGAGGGAACACACCTCAACATAATAAAGGGCATATATGACAAACCCACAGCAAACATCATACTGAATGGTGGAAAACTGAAAGCTTTTCCTCTAAGATCAGTAACAAAATAAGGATGGCTACTCACCGCTTTTATTCAACATAATCCTGGAAGTCCTAGCATGGCAATCAGACAAGATAAAGAGATAAAAGGCATCAAAATTAATAAGGAATAAGTAAAATTGTCACTGTTTGCAGATGACACAATTATATATATAGAAAACTCTAAAGACTCCATCAAAAACTATTAGAACTAATAACTGGATTCTGCAAAATTGCAGACAAAAATCTGTTGCATTCCTATATACACAATGAACTAGCAGAAAAAAACTAGAAAACAATTCCATTTACAGCTGCATCAAAAAGAATAAAATACCTAGGAATAAACCTAACTGAGGAGGTGAAAGACCTGTACTCTGAAAACTAAGACATTCATGATAGAAATTTAAAAAGACACAAATAAATGGAAATCTATCCTGTGCTCATCGATAGGAAGAATTAAATATTATCAAAATGGCCATCCTACCCAAAGCAATTTACAGATTCAGTTCAATCCCTATCATAATACTAATGACATTTTAAAATAAATTAGAGCAAACAATCCTAAAGTTCATATGGAACCACAAAAGATCCTGACTAGCCAAAGCAATACTGAGAGAGAAGGACAAAGCTAGGAGTATTACATGCCTAGATTTCAACCTATATTACAAAGCAACAGTAATCAAAACTGTATGGTACTGGCACAAGAACAGAGCCATATGTCAGTGGAATAGAATAGAGAGCACAAATATAAACACAGATATATTGTCAATTAATATATCATAAAGGAGCCATGCATATACAGTGGGGAAAAGTCAGATCTTCAATAACTGGTGTTGGGAAAATGAAGCAGCTACATGCAAGACAATAAA